TAAAACAAGCATAAATCTAAGATGGTGTGAGTGGATAATTAGAACATAATTGTAAATCAAATGACTGATGACCATGCATGATGATGCATAAAATGTAAGAAATAATCATGGACACCAGATAGGAAAACACATAATAATCCCCTAATCATATCATGAAATATTAATAAAATATATGTAATACATACTCCAGCAGTAGTAATGTTTGTAGTCTAGAAATAATACTAAGTAGAGGAATATACCATATTATCAAGGAGAATATACATATGAAACAAATTAGAAAATTCAACAACCAACACTGGTCTAAGATCCCAGAGGACCTATAATATTTTCCCCACCCCACATGGTCAGATCTCCTAATCTCCCTTTCATTTTGATATACCCATTCTTGTGCAATTCTGCTCTGTCTCCAGTCTACCCGGCACAATCCAATTAATCCGCTCTATGACAGAAGGAAGCAAGTAGTAGGGGTGATGTGGGAAACCACCTACGAGTACATGCATCCACAACTTCCCGCTCTCATTTTTAGTCTTGACTCCTGCTGTACGGATTGGGTCGTTCCAGTAGCCCTTTTGCAAGAGGGTAGGAGGAGAGGAATGGACGCACTCAGCGTGCGGCATTAACCTGCCAACACTATTGACTCGCTTCTCAAGCGGGTCATTGGTGGTAGTCACTGTAGAAACCGGTGAGGTTTCAATCATTCTATGAACCCCATTAGCCATTATACGGCCATCCATAAGATACGTCTTTCACTCACCCATAACAGATAGCTACACTCCCACCCCAGCTGAGGACTTCATTAGTCTTCCCTTCCCCTCACACCTGCAGCACCTGGGGGTCGCATACTCAACTCTGTCAGGCTCAACTCTCTATGCCACTTCTTCATCAATTCCTTCGGAATACTACTTCCTGCCGCAATCCCAGCCCTTACATGCTTGAACCCTTTCTTCCCCACCTCCTCACCAGCTAGCCGTTCTAGCTCTGCTGTGAGCATTGCCGGCGTACCCTACAGTTCGGCGTACTTTTCCTGCCACACGGTGTGAAGAGTTGCCTGGTCGTCGAAGCATTCGGTGGGGAATACGATGCAGGTGGCATGAGTCGCGCAGGCCATGTAGCCTAGGATGCTACCAAAACAGCTAGTTCTTCGTTAGTAGTAAGAATTGGAGGGGTGAGGCCAAGAGTAAGGAATACTGAAACAACGGCGGAGGGCAGCATATAACATCCTTATTAGTCGGAGCGTTCTATCATCGATACTCTTCCCATTATTCAGTATAGATCTATGAGTTAAGCACGTAGCTTTCGGCATACTAGTCGTCCTGTTGTGCTGCCCCCAAATTAGCCCCCAAGTACTTAACGGGCGGTGGCATACCTCCTTTATTGTAAACCACTATCCCACCAACCACTCTGAAACGATGGAGTATAGAATCTTTGGTTTGTCACAGGCTATTTCGGATTCTTACCATACCAAGGTTGTTGACTTGATCCTAATATTTTGTTCAGCTATCCTCAAAACCCATGGCGGAACGCTCGTTGTGGTGCACAAGCCTCGGCCGCTTCTCCCTGCAATTGAACGCCGAGGTCCGCCGGGACGATCAGTTCCGGTACGAGGACCGGGTACGACAAGATCGGCTCCGTCACGAGCACCAATTGCGGGAAGAGAGACTCCGGGCGGAGGATAGTCAGTGTGCAGAGCATCTCCTTGTCCTTTCCCTTACGCTGCCTGCCCGGTCGTGCAGAGAACCTGGGACACCTACATCTCGGGGTGGGAGTGGGAGCGCAGGCTGGGGCCTCGGGCCAGGAGCCGAGTGAGGTATGGGGGTTGTTGGCTAGGGTATGGCTGTAGAGACGGGGCACGGGATGGGTGGCAGTAATCGGGGGTGTTTTTTAATTATTATTTTTTCCTCCAGTGCAGGCGGTTGGTGGTATTTTTTTTTACTCTTGTACTAGCGCATTTAGATTTCAATAGCATGGCAACAGTAGAACTCTCGACAGTACTACTATATACAGATTGACACGAATTATACCATAAGGGTACCGGTATAGAAAGCAACAAACGAGTAGACGGTTCCCGACCATCATATAAGTAATGGTATGCCGCCCTGGCTGGATCTTGGAGTTAGAGAGATAGAAGTTAGGAGGTGATGTATGGGAGGTGGTATGAGGGAGGGTTAGGAAGGAGAATGAAAGGAGGAATCGGAAGCCCAGAAGGGAGGCACACAAGATTGGGCTAAATTAATATGCCTAGGTACCGTGCGGGGGGCTCATTGAGAACGGTGATTCATTTCGGATGATATTTGTTCTCCAAGAGTCGGGAATCACTTTAAGCAGCCTCGCGTCTCCTGTGTTTAGGGTAGATATATTACTAGCCAAGAGGAGAAAAAACCTATCTCCACCTATATACAAGCTCGCCTGATTGTGGCCATAGCGGGACGTAAGCGGGGCTCCTTGTCGTTGTCGGTGGTGGCCATGCTTGCCCAAGAGTCATTGTCATGTTACACTTGGTAATGAAATTAGGAAATGCTCTCAGATGTTGTCAGTGTTATCTCTGTGAGAATTGGCTACAGCAGCTGGCACAACGCCCTGGGAGAAACTCTGATCGACGATCAGTATTCAACCTAAGCTAGCGGGTGTTCAGATGCCACTAATGGACGAGTCCGCCTCCCCAGAGCCCCCAGAAGTTGTTTCCTATGCACCGCATTACTACCCATGCTTTTCCCGTCCTCCCAGGGTCACCCCCCTAAGCTAGTTCCCCCCACCTTTTTGGAGGCTTAGCTCGTGTCCCTTAATGCAAGCTCCACGTCCACCTTTCCCTAAATATCCCCTCTCTCTCCTCCGACTTGACTAGCGTGGTCAGGCACTCCCGGTAGCGGTAGATTTTCTCTGACCAGAGCACCCACAACTAAGGGGAGCTCAGAGAGCACAGCGTAAGACAATAATAATGTGTATTTCGTAGAGGATGTTTTAGGGCTCAATCGACTAATTGGCGTGGGGAAACAACTAGCATTAGAATAGAGAACGGGGACGGGATGCAATGCTGCATCTAATGCTCTCATGTCCATTGTCTTCTCCAGGAATTTACATTTACGATGGCACTATCTACAGGGAGGAGAGCCGGGGAGTGTTCCACCTATCCCCGGCACATTTAGTAGTCATCACACATCCTTCAAGTAACCAGCTAGGAAATTTTGTGTTAGAACTAAGGAGGTGATTTACTTCTGTTGTGATATCGCAGGGGTTGTTAGGGACTTCCTGATAACCACATGCAAGAAGCAGTCTAGACGAATGTGAGGGAATGTAAGGAATGGTATGGATTGGAAGGAATGTAGCCACCAGATAGATATCTGGTTGTGGGCTAGATTGGAATGAGGGCGAGGAATGGTATGGATTGAAAGGAATGGGGTCACTAGGTGGACTCGGATATCTGGTCAGTTGGATTTTATATAGTATATAGAGGTCATCTACTTCGGTGATAGGAAGGGAGTCAATTAAGTCAAGAAAACACTTCCCAATTCTTGCTCACTCAAACGATCATATCCTCCCCCGCAAAAGTGCCTAACTGAATTCTCCTCTTTACTCTACCTAAACTCCCTTTTCTACATCAACTTCTGTTGGAGGTCACACAGAGAAGGCCGCAGTGGAAGTACAAAGAGATGGGACTGATCAAGAGTGAGAGAAAGAGAAAGACGGTTGTTCTTCTTGTTATCCTACAGATACATCTCAGATTGCCGTACTTATAGCAATTTGTGACATGAATATACATCGATGTGACTTCAGTCATTTCCTAGGTCCACAAGCTCCGAGTGGCCCAACAGCCGGCCCAACATATCCGCACTACTCATCATATTGCGGTAACATTTCCAACAACTTCCTTGAATGGGGCCCGAGTGATATCTGGTGTCGGTAGGGTATAGTGTTGAAGGCGTGCATTATGTAACTGCTTTCCGGTACTTCTAAATCCTGCGGAATTTCATTCCCCCGAACTTCGAGCAGCGTCTCAATATACCCTGTTACGGACTCTTCAACCGTTCGATAATATATAGATCTAAGATAGCCTTCCTTACTCCAAATCCGTGGACCAATCACTTCATTCTTAATTTATCGTCCTTCCGAGTCATACAAAACTGGTCAGCGGCAGACTTCAGCTCACCCCCTGTTACCAAGCCTCCCCTCTCGATCCTCATTCTGGCCTATAAACTCAGAGAACGATCCCAGATTTTCAGCCTGAAAAGTTTGGCCGCAGGGATACTTAACACCCCCACTCCCACTTGCGCTAGGGTTCTGGGCGATCCCTCGGCCACTCAAGTTTCGGCGGGCTTGAAATATAGCAAAAAAGATAGCGGTAATTCGAACAACACCGATCGTCCTAAATCTGTTAAATAGCGCGAGTTGTCGAGCTGGTCTAGCACACTTTGCACAGAAATAGCCACCCTTGGTGTTAGGCTTCAAGCTGGCTTCATGGGAAAGTGTGGCCTGCTGGGCGAGAGTAGATGGGATTTTGGGGGAAATCTACAACTTTGAACTAGTAGGGATCGTCTCAAAAAAACCCCTGCGGGAGATCCTCACCAATATACCGCCTTATGAGTTTATCTTCTTGCAAAGCTTTCCCAGCCTACCCCCACCTGCTCAGCTCTACCTCCCTAGTATAAACTCATGTTTATTCAAATGACCCCACTCACGTTGTCGAATCGAGTTCGCGCCTCTATTGGGAGGTCACCGTTGCTGGAACGCGACTTCAATCCGGGGGCGCTGGTACTGTACTCGTGAGGCCGAGTTGAGGTTGAATACCTAAGGCAAGAATTCCTATGTAAAGCCGCAAATTCAGATTTCGTGCTCCAATACCACATGGTATGGATAGGATTGTTTAGAGAGCCCTTGTCGGGTAACAAGACAGCCAATAGAGGCAAAGAAATAAGCCAGCCATTTATTAACATTAAGGATGAGCTCATCCGAGATTTCCATCAACACAATAGCTCCCACATGTGGTACAGATATAGCACTATTGATGGAACACCAGCTGATAATTACCAAAGGATAAATAAGAAACAGTAGCGACCATAATCACTAGGGAAGGAGCAATGCGATGAGGTTCGATAGGCCAAACCAGCACTCTGACTTGAAACAAATGGAGAGAGTGGACACAGCACCTAAAGGCACAAAGAAATCCCCGAAAAAAATATTGTTCCCCGGCTCTGCAAACCGCGGGCTGTTATATGCTCCCCAACTTTGTTAGCTTTTTCTAATCAATTATCTTATCTCATCTCCACCTTATTCCCTCTACGCTGTGTTCTTACCTATTCGGCTCCTGGGTACCACTCATCGCTTATCATCCAATAAATTCGCAGACAAATCGGTCAACGCCTCCCAATACTTCCGACATACTAAGGTTAAGTTATTGGATACTATATATTCCCTATCCCTCACCAGTGTTCTCCCGATACCCCCAGCTCCCGGTACGATCAACACCCTGCACATCATACAGATTACCCCGGAGATCCAGCTCAGGTAGAATGACGATTGCATAACCTGCGCCACCGGTTGACTCGTGCCGTATACCAACCCCAGCAATTGCTTTTTGGGGGGTTTCAGAGTATTCCTATCAGCAAGGTGTCAGGAAACTGGCCTTTTTCACTATCAGTCAGGCCGCTCTGCCCTCTATGTTGCCCCCCACCTGTTCCATAAGCTCAAAAATACTATACCATCAAGCACCGGTAAACCAGAACCCCGTCGTGACAGCAGCTACTTCCCTAATTACCTGTTGCTTCTTATGGCGTATATCCGTAATTGTGGGGCATTGAGGGGAGGGAAACCGGCGGGGGAAGAAAAAGGTAACACCCGGCCAGCTTCACTGGCTGGCAGGTGATCTCGGGAAAACCGGCATCCAGGCCCTCAAAACACTCAGAGAGAAATGAAAAGGAACAAAAGAGGACCAATTTAAGCTGTTGTCGTCGTCACACATGCCGTTGCTTTTTCGCTGTCACGGTTAGGTCTATGAGAAAAGAGACTACATCTACATACAATACCATCAGGGTAAATCTCCTTCTCCATAAATAATCACCTCGCAAACCTAATGGCATAATCAAGACACAGCCATCAATAGAGAACATAAATCTTGGTAAGGATTTACGAAAATAGAGCAGACACTGCTCTGTCCCCAAAACACTCACGACTCCCGGTGATCCCTTGGCATCACACTTGTACACCTGCTAAGGCCTGGATGTCTCAAGAATGGTTGAGAGGAAGCAGCGACACCGGGGAAAACTGGAGTCGCATCAAATGGGGGTTTTACGAGCCGAGCCTCTAGCTCAGCTCTTGTCAAAGACTTAGTGTACCATTATTCCACGCATTAGCGAGCGCCCGGCATCGGGAGCCATCCACCCGAATACTAGCCACTATTCAAAACTCAACCGATATTCAACCAATTGCTCGGACTAAACTTGCAGATGGCACGCTATGGCGTAAGATACGTTATCCCAGCTAGACGATATAAATCAGATGGATACCGCATTGGAAACCAACTGTTCTTTCCGGCTGTCAGCCGGACAAGCGCTTCGCCGTCTCTCCGAACTCCCTACTACTAGGCCCGTCACAGGAATCCGAAAAATTGCAACAGCACACGGATAGTGGCCTTGAACCATCACCGGAATAGCTTATAGTCTCTGATACGCCTAAGCCTAATTTACCCCATAAACTAACCCCAGTGAGCACCGTAACTTAAAAATTTACAGAACAGCGGCAGTGGCCTAGGACTCCCAAATTACTGGTAAAGGTTTTGTATGTGCCTGAAATACCATACCATACATCCGAGTGATAGCATATCCCGGGGCCCCCACTAAATTTACTGCGGTGACCAACTTAATAGAGGTTACTCAAAAAAATCAAAAGAAGATTGGGGAGAAAATATTGGCACCTTAGCTTGGGGATCAGTATTTCTTTTGTGGTATGATACTAATTACTAAATGACGCGGTACTTGTACAACGATCCGATTTGAACGGGTTTTAATAACGTGATTTTTTTGGATATGATACCTTCATTTTCGAGGTCGTTGTTGCAGTTTGATCAAGTTTGGGCATCAACCAGACATGGCAAAATAGAGTTTTGCTGCGAACCTTCTACCCGTAAAAACTCGGCACATCCACCATCTCCGATCAGCCTCTAACCTCCGTGTTTCAAGACAAAATAGCTTGAGAAGGAACAGTACAGGTGTTTCCTAGACGCGGTATCCCTTCAACCGATGAGACGCAGATTCCGTTCCTTCCAAATCCAGATGTGGCCAAGTGACTTCGCCTGGCAAAAATCATGAAATATTAAGTGTTTTTTTGAGTGGAAAAGTCACTTAGCCACAGCATCGAGTTGCCGTGTACGGAAGGAACGGAATCTGCGTGTCTCATCGGTTGAAGAAATACTGTAGCTTTTGGATGAATCTATTCAGCTAAGCTGAGTACCGTAGGGTCATTCCCGTCACGCATACCCCAGCCGGCGCGCCAAGTCCCCGATCCCCGATAGTGGATCTACCGAGTTTTTACGGTACTCGTACAAGTGCCAGGGGAGATGTTTTCGTACAAGACAGGGATTATTCTGCGGGTTAACCTAAATTAACTGTGCGAAAACATTATCCCTGGCACTTGTACCAAGATTTGGTGTCGCAATCGGATACGGTACAGTACCCCCTTAACAGGATACCTTATCCTTCTTGTACGGGTATGATACTATCCTGATTGACTCGCTTGGTTACCAAGATTGTTGACAAATTTTGATGGTGTGTGCTGCATTCGGGTAATCACGTGATTGTCCGGGAATTTCATTGCTTGGTGCGTGGTAGGTGCAACTGGATATGATTAGGACCGCACCCACTGCTGTCAAACTTGCGAACTCTCGAGACAACACACCGTTGCCTCCTCCTATCCACCCCCACCACGTCCGTTCAAAGTGGAATTTCTCAACTTCGTGCCTACACCAGTTCGCAGGTCATTCCTGCGATCACGTTTACTGAAATCACCTATACCAACAATGTCTCAAAATCGCTCTCTCGCACGTAATGTCTCCTTTTATGATGCTACCAATCCTGATGAGGCTCTTGGTGGACTTGTCCAGAATGGGTCTATAACTGAGACAAATTTTCTCGACATCCTCGGAATCTTACTTGTGGTTGACAGGAGTCCTCTGCTGGTTCAAGAGAGAAAGTCAGGCCATATAGTATCTGGAACAAACATGCCTCTTAAAATAGGGGTATATGATATCCATTGCAACAGTGGGTGGTATATTTTCCTAATTCGCTAGGCGGCCGAATTGCTAACTTTTCAAGCCTCTATCCAAGTCAGCGATGAGGCTTGGGTACACCGGTTGGTTTCCCATAATACCTCTCGTGAGAAGGCTAAATTCCATCATGACATCAGTAATCGCTACCGGAAATGCGTTATTTCAGGAATGGTAAATCCTGAAATCCTTATCCAGGCCAATGATTGGACTGGCTTTGAGGTTGCTTACATCTTCCCTCCTAAGCATGAAAGCCTTTGGATTCAGTTTAATTATGGACGATGGATCACAGACATGGATGATGCCACTGGATCCTCTAAGATAAACTCATCTCAAAATGGCTTTCTTCTCCGGGCTGATGTCCACCAAATGTTCAAGCAGTACCTCATCTCTGTTAACCCAGACGACGGATACAAGATAGTTGTGTTTACAATCGAGCGTTCGGGGCTCGATAGTAGGATTCTGGATCCCGTGTGTCGATCCCCAACCAATCCCCACCATGTTGCCGACCAACTCCTTAGATGGCATTTCTGCCAATCAGTCCTCGTGAATATGAGAGGAGCAGGAGAACCGATCTTCGAGCATGACTTCCCACCAGGCACTGATATGGTGGGTGAAATCCTTGCTGGCCCGTATGCGCAAGAGAGGTTCAAGTTGGAGATAGCCACGAGGTTCTGAGAGGCTTCCTAAGCGCAACCATTTCTATCCCAGGCAGATTTTGCGGCTGTGGATTTGATGACATTAGTCCCAGTTGTTGGTTTTTTCTGGGAGTCTGATGGGATTGGAACTGAGGTTTTGAACGTGAAAATGTATTTGGAAGTGAATATGAACTAGTTGGGTGTCACGGCCACCCGGCTATATGCATGGGTTTCTCGTTGCATATATTGGTTGTGGTTTTCTTGGTTGCATGGTTGGAGTTCCTTTGTAGAAATGATTGGGATGTGTTGTTGCGCAACGGAAGATAGCGGCATCAGATGGAGGAATCGCGGCTGTGCGCGACGCCAAGAACTTTCTTTTGTATTAGTGATCATGGAGGATTGTTTTAGTATATAAAGAGGTGTGCTCCTTTATATTTTACTTTCTTTATGCAATCTGGTAATCTCCTTTGGACACCCTTTCTTACGTTCCAGGGATATTCCTTTACCTCTTTGAAGCTTTTCGGCTCGGTTATTTATTTTGCACCTTGTTTGTTTATTTTGTTTCACCACACTTGAAGCAGATACTTTCCTCCTCCCCTCGCTTAGGGTTGAGTTGGTGTGCGCTACCTAGCCTCGAAGGCACTGTGGGCGAGATATCCGTGGTTTAAGCCCGGTAATCCCAGGTGCAGTCGGGCGGGCAGACATGTCGTCTCCCTCCCATACTCCTCAGGCTTCGGCCTTGTCATTTGAGGTTTCCTCGTCCATGCTTACGGATGCGGAACCTTCCTCCTTCTCCTTGGGTACGCCCTCGGTTATCGTCGACGTCCCGGTTCCAGCACATGACGCTGTGAAACACCGCCGCGGCCTCGTCGAAATTAAGACACGGTCCTACCATGCACCTGGAGGGGACTACGGGTTCCTTTCATTTGATCACAATTACGGTTGCGTCAACGCTATGAATAAAGCGTTTGATGATGAGGTGAGGGCTGTGGTTGCTAATGCCAAGCTTATCACGATGAAAGAGGTGGAGTGTTTGGTTGGTGGTTAGCTGGTGGGTAAAGGTTGTTTGGCTGAATGTGGCCTGGACCTTGCCTCGACTACCGGTTTCTTCGACCGACACAACCCCGACGGGGGCTCGGAATTCGATCCGTCCCACAACTCCATGGCTCCTGGTGATTCACAAGTGGTAATCCCGGAGTCCTCCGTCTCCGCCCACCCTGGTGCTCATACTCCCGACACGAGGGAAGCATCCAGCTGGGCCTCTACACCCCCGAGGCAGGTCCTGTCTCAACTGATGGTGGAAACGATGATGCCAGAGACATTGGCACCACTGGCTCGTAGGAGTCACTCCACACCGTCCCTGTTGGCCTCCATGTCATCCGGCCATAGGGGAATCTACAACCGAGGGACATTCGACCTTAGCGCTAGGTCGGACTCCGACTATGAACCCACGCCGCCCCCATTTGAGGAACGAAAACGGCGTGGACGATCCCCTTCCCCTGACCCCACATTGGTGTCCGTGTCCAGTGGCAGTTCGGGTTCGGTTCTTACTCCTACTAAGGGTGTGCCGACTAAGGAAGGGCGGAAGATGATGGTGATCCCCAGGGAACAACTAACCTTGGGTGAAATCAGACAACAGACCGCTCCGGGATTCAAGCAGGTCCCATACCCACCGTCTACTATCGAGTCATCGGACAGGGCAAGTTCCCCCCCTTTGGCTACTGCTGACGTGCTTCCCTCTGCGGAGGTGATTGCTAGAGACACCCCCATGGACATGGGAGGTGATAGGAATACCGAGGCCACGGGGCTGGGAGACAGTAAGTGGGTCGATCTCGAAGCAGTCCCATCCTCCCCAGTGCGATCCAGCTCGCCGATCGTGGAGCAACCCCCCACCCAACCAGGGTCAATGGACGCGAGGGTGGCAAGGGCACAGGATGCGATGAGGCAGTTGGATGGTGCGGATGAGGCAATGAGGAGGGTGGACGAGGAATTGTATGCCCCCCCCTCAAGGCGTTCGGAATCGGTGGTATCCCGGGACTTGATTCTCGGGGTACTTGATGAAATAGGGACCCCGGCGGCTATCCCATGCATTGGGGATGCCCCTAGCCCCTCCGAGGATAGTTCGGATTCGAGTTCCGAGTCGGAATACGATGATGTGGAGGTGAGGAGGGTGTTGTTTAACCAGGAAGAAGGATACAGAAACCTTGGCGAAGTGTCGAAGGATATGAGAGCTGTATTCCAGATGCTGGATGAGTACAAATCGTTGTACCGAAGCCTGAGGAATAGGGTATTCGAGTTGGAGGAGGCCAATAGGAACCTAAAGGAGACGGTTAAGCGTAAGACCAAATATGTGGCAGCATCTCCTACACCTTCTCCCCCCTCCCCCCCCTCCCCCCACTGAAGAGCACTCCATCTGTGAGTGGGGAGTCG